TATTATGTCGAAATTTCGACATAATAAGTCGTAATTACGACATACGTATGTCGACATTTCGACATAATAAGTCGTAATTACGACATAAAAATATATATTTCAGTGGCCCTAATACGCTTTTGTAGTTTTCAAAGTGTCCTCTGATAACTCAGATGGCTTTCCTACGAAAGCCTATTAGGGCCACTGAATTATATAATTACGACTTATTATGTCGAAATTTCGACATAATATGTCGTAATTACGACTTACGTATGTCGTAATTTCGACATATTATGTCGTAATTTCGACATACGTATGTCGAAATTTCGACATAATATGTCGTAATTACGACATACGTATGTCGAAATTTCGACATAACAAGTCGTAATTACGACATACGTATGTCGTAATTTCGACATATTTATGTCGTAATTACGACATAGGCTTGGGCCACTATTTATATGTATATCTCTAAAGATTTTTAAAATCAATCTTAATTACTAAAGTTAAGGATTGTTAAAAGAGTTTAAATGTATGGGCAATACAAAAACGGTGAATGAAAAATGGTGGATTTTTGTTTAAATACGGTATACAATATTAAAAAGTCAATTTAATGCTAACATTAATGATAACTTCAGGTATCAGAGTATATTTATTTTTAAAAGTAATACAATTGGGAAAAAGTCGTCCGGCCAAAGCCTGTGCGGCCGGTGTGGTTCCGATGGCCCTGCGTCAGTGGTGGGGATATTTGCCATTGGGGTTTATACTGTTTGTTTGTCTGATTTAGTTTGTATTGTAAAATAAATATCATATCTCCGCCCATGATTAACGTGTACTCATTTTTACCGCTGCAAAAGATATTAATTTTATTTTCAAGTTTCTTAAAAATAATGACATTTCATTGTAGTAATTTGGGGTGTTAACGTTTGTGTGTGTGTGTGTGGTTGGGTGGGGTGTGTGGGGTGTGTGTGTGTGTGTTACGTTTTGGTATTTTCGTGTGGTATTTTTGTGTGCAACATATATCAAAAACGGCTGCATTGACATAAATGAAAATAAGAGGGAGTGTTAGGCATAACCCAGTAAAGATATGATATACATTTTGGTGACGGTCCGTAGTAGGGTGTGGGTGTATTCTATTTGTATCCTTAATGTAAAGCGCCTTTGAACATGAGTACTCATGAAAAGGGCGCTATAAAAGTTTGGTAAATAAAATAAATAAAAATAAGAAAAAAAAACGATCGCCAAAAAGGCCTCAGAGGTTATTTCAGTCTTAAA